TCACCCTTTCCCTCCAACAATCATTGCGTAATTGACAAAATTCCTCGCTTTGTTGGTGTTTCCTCGGTCTGCAGGAGGTCTTCGTTGTGTTGGAAATGCTAGATGATGATGAGAGATTCGGCTTCTCTGTGATGGGTGGCATTGAAGAGGGGTTCCTCCCCAGAGTGGATGAGATCTTACCAGGTAAGAGTGGTCCTGAACAATGTTTGTGTTGTTGTAGAGATGGTGTGATTGCAGATGACAGGCTGGGTGCAGTATGCACTTTGGACGGGTGATCCTTCCACGAAGGACTGCCTCATGATTTTCTGACCAGTCACTGCCGTGAGCATGGAGCATGCGCTCTGGCTTTGGGGAGGCATGCATGTTGCTTCCCATTTGCAGAAAGGGTGGGGTGTTAATAGATTGTGTGTTTTTGAGGGACGATGGCATACCCAGGATTGGGAGGGGGGTTGAGTATGTTTAACCCTTTTTTTTCGAAGTTTTATTTTAGGAATTGAAAGTTCCAACAGTTTGGAAACACTACCATTACCTTCCATGGGTGGGGGATACTTCAAATACCCTGATTAAAAATCGGACAATCGTTTTGGAAAAAAAATTCCCATTCCCCGTTTAAGTCATACCCAACCCTCAGACTCAGTGCAGGGATATGCTACCGGTAGGCTTGAAGAGTATGGATTGATAAACATACATACATACCTAGTACGCACATATGCTGTGCACGTATACCTGTAGTCTGAAGCCTCAGAGACAACTTTTGCAAGTTATGCAGGTTACCGGTACGTGTGTAGACCATTTTCACTTTGCTGTTTGCATGGGCAGCCAAAGTTTGCGGAAATATTACCCTACCGCCCGGTTAGTGTGGCTTGGGATTTAACCTCAGAATGTGCCCCACATCTTTTAAAGAGGGCCGTAGTTTTATTCGGTACTGACTTAGGTAGTTGGTGCTTATTGTTTTTGAGTAGTGAATGAATTGTTCTTTTTATGCTTAAATTGCACTGACAGCTAGCCATAGTTCTACCAGCCCCGGCTGGTAAAACCACTGATGTTGGCATTAAAATAACAGATTACACATACTGTAGCATGCTGTTCTGAGGTACATGTACACTGTACATTGTACATGTACACATTGTGTATTTGTACTGGTACCGGTATGTACATTGTTTTCTGGATATGGCACTCCAAGAATCAAGCTACCGTACCTGTATTTGATTTGTGCACCTGTTACACATGTATGGGTATGTACAGTGTAGTGTTAGCATTTTAAATGTACCGGTACAGTAAAAAATTCATTTGCCCCGAGTAAAAAAAAAACCATCATGATAAAGATATGGTACATGTACATGTACATGTATTGGTACAACATGTACAGTACTGTCAGTACATGACATGGATATCGGCAAGTTTTTTTTTGGGGGGGGGGGAAGGTTGACGACTTTTTCTAGGGTGGGGCAAAGCACTTACATGTACATGCAGCAGCATGAAGGAAACAGTAGAAGGGGTCATTCTGAGGTACCAGTCTTCTCAAGTATAAATCACTTCACCCCCTTTTCTCCCTTTTTTGTTTCTCTTGGTTTTTCATTTAAAAGTTTGAAATTACTCATTCAGAAGTAGAGTATGATACCGGTATCTGTTCAGAAATATGCATACACATGCAAAAGTACACACGGACATGTACATGGTACGGTACCTCTCATGTTCTAGGGAAAAATCCGTCCAATGATTGTTCCCCTTCCAAAAGTGTACTGCTATATCATGTGTGCAATGTCACTGATGAATATACATGTACATGAATTTACTCAGTGCACTTTGGAAAAGCACTTGTTATTTCCGCCCATGTACAGGTACTGCGTGCAGTACGATGTGCTTCAACATTATTTCAGCATACAAGATTATCCAGTGTTTATTTTTGTAGATTTGAGAGCATCTGCTTGAATTTTTGTAGTGTTCAAAGTTCAAGCGATGCTGTCTACATTGTGTACACAAACCCATAATTTATAGCCCGTTGCCTGGTGAAAATAAAGGCATGCTACCGGTACCTGTGACCATTACATGCAATCTTACATGTTGTGCACATCGGTAGCTCCCTCTGGAGTTGTACATCAAGCTACATGTACATCTACCAGTACATATACATGTACCGTACAGAAACATGTACATACATGACTGTACATGTTCGTGTGTACACGTACATGTATGTACTTCACATTTGCTGACACCTGCTCACCATTATCTTCTTGCTGTGTACGTGTACATGTATCTGCAATACTGCCCTCTTTTGGCAACTGCTGTCAAAGAGGCTGGAAGACTTCTCTTTATCGTGTGGTGGCCAGCCACAGGTTGATTTTTACCGTTACATGCAGAAATGCTGACAGTGTGCATAAAAAGTATGCGCCGGTATGCATAAGTGTGTACATGCATAGTATGTATTTCACTGTTGCAGGGTGATGGTCATAAGGTTTAAGCTGGGGGGAAAGGTTACGGTAGATTCTGTATCTTTTTGTACTGCATCCTGCTGGTTGGCTACATGTACATGTACGTGTACTTTGCTCACCCTGTGTTGCCCTGACATGCCTGAGGTTATGTACATTTTCTGACATTACCAGTGACAGAATTAGACACCTTAGTGGACGAGTTTGTGGAACATTTCAAAAAAGATGGTACTAGTACTTCCTTCCAGTGATTTCATCAAGTTGAATTTGTTCAACTGAACACTTTGTTGTTGAAGACAGTTTTAGATACTGTACATGTACGGTGTACATACATAGGCATTGTTATGCAATAAAATGCACATTTAATCACATATACTGTTCCCTTGTATTCATACTGGGACCTGTTGCCGTTATATAACCAAACAATTATTTCCTGCTGTGACTTGGTCCACAGTTGTATACATGTACATGTATACATTATACTCCCATGGATAAACAAATACATGTAGCATATTATTGGATGGGGATGCCATCTCCTACTGGTACACGTACTTCCTGTTTGTCCTCCTGCTGTCTTATTTCTTTTCCCTCCAGAGACCTTCAGAACTTTTTACATATCCGTAAATTTGATTATACCGGTACATAAGATCTTCCACACTCCCCCCTCCCCCTCGATCGCGGCGTGTCTAGAGTTTCCGCCAGTTGTTTGCTTGATGTGAACAGCCATGGACACGCTTGTCCACTTCCAACAGTACTTTTGCATAAAAGATGAGGGAGACATCCTGGGAGACTGCCCCCCGAGATTTGAGTAAAAGCCCTGCAACCCTTTCCATTTTGTCACTAGTTTACATGCACAATATTCATTTTTAACCGGTCCCCCAAGGTGGCTTGGGAAGTGTTATTATTCCCTTCATTTCTTCAACTGTCATATTACTGTCTATGTACATGTAGGTGTTCAGCAGGGGATTTAATGCCATGTGGAATGTGATGCATTGGCTGTTTTAGTCTATGTTCATTGCTATTGATTGTTTTCTGTGAAGATTATACTCACTCTGTTTGACAGGGATGTGCACGCTCAGTGCAGGAAAAAAAATGTTTTAACGTTTGCTAACCAGAAACCGTTTTTGTCTTGGGAAAATATTTTTTACTTCCAGCGAGGTTTTGTCAGCTTGTTGAAATGTACCGTACATGCCCATAGTTTGTGTCGTGCATTGTTGAGACAGTTTGTACAGTACATGTAGTTGCCATTGAATTGATTAGAATGTTTTCTTGATTTAAAATACAGTCCGAACATAAGGGTTAAAAGTAGGAAACAACATTATGCATTACTGATACCAATTGTTTACAATTCCTATATATTTTCATGTTTCATTCTCAAATATTTCACAATTCGATACGAAGCATTACTTATTTATTTGTTAATTTCCGTTTGCATAGTTACCTGTACCTCATAATGTATTAGTTGCCCTTGCTGGTGCAGAACAGAGCGCTATGATGAACGGTTGACTTCTGACAAGATGAGAGTTGTCTGATGGTTGCCAAGGTTATTTGACCATTTGCAGTTGACGTTCCATTAATTGATCAATTAACGTGTGCGTATTGGCCACTGGAGCATCACTGGAACTTGTACTTGTATGTGTGGTTTTGACCATTTTGGTGTCGGTAAAATTGCGTTTTGTCGCTACTCCAAAGGTGCATTATTTCCCTATAACTGTCAAATGAAAAATGTGACTTTTTTTTAACAAAATAGCGGCACAGGTAAAGTTAAAAATTCAACAGGTTGTACCACATTGCAAAAGCAGACTTTTAGGAAAATATTCTTGCCGGTAATTCCAAATATAGTTTTTTCTTCTCCTCTTAGATGCTTCCACACCCTAGAAAAGGCTGCATTAATGATACATGTAGGTGGGTCATTCTGTGAGATTGGGGCACAATTTGTGACGGTGTCCTTGTTACATGGGTAATGTCATGTCCTGTAGAGTAGGTCATTTACTCTGTAAAAAATAAGACACACCTCTGTATTCAACCTTGCAAGATGTATAATTTGGAATCCACACGCAGGGAGACACTGGTACATGTGCAGCTGTTCATTTGAACAGAACCCACGTAACAATGGACACCGTCACAAATTGTGCCCCAACCTCATGGAATCACCCAGTCCCAACATACATGTACATTTATGCTAGTGTTATGTCAAAGTTGTTATTGAATAGAATATTAAATTTTTATAATTTTTATGAAAAGAGAGCTACAGTATGTATCTGTAGAGACATTGGAAAAACTCTGTGGGTGTATGTTTTAGGAGACAAGCTTAGAATTTCTTTTTCCATCATCATTCGTAGGAAAACAGTAAATGTAGTAGTAAACATGTACCAGTAAATGTACATGGATTAATATACCGTACAATTACCAGTAGTGCGGGTTTACCACAAATGAGAAGAGTCTATGCTTAATTTATTCGTAATTTTTATTAAGGGTGGGGGTTCAGTTCCACCACCATGACAACCATGGCTTGAATTCACCACATGATCATCAACATGAACATTTGTTATCACTGGTTTTGAGAAATCTTATGGGAATGTTAATAACGTGTACAGAGTGATCACTGCATTAATCTGCTCTCATCATGTGGAGCTATATAACCATAACCTGTGTAATTTTAGGCTGAAGTTGAAAGAGCGATGCCTCAAGGGATGAGATTAAGGCTTGCCTTAATTGGAGGTGACTTGGTCAGGAGCAGCTCTGGTATGGTGGACAGTATGGCATGGACAACCAGTGGGCAGAGGCTCATGTGATTTGCTGAACACAATAAACCCCAACGTGGGGGCTGATCAGACGGTCAAGCAATCAACCTGTTGTGCTGTTATCAGAAGGTTCGCGGGCAGTGTGCAACAGTAATCCACAGAGTACTGTCATGTTATTAGCTCTATGCCAACCATATGTACAACTTGCTCCTGCACTAGTACCAGGATTACACACCTGTGTGAACAGCATTGACACATAGATGCACATGTACCATCTGCACACTGATGAAAGATATTCTTACTGGGGACTTGGCACGTGCAGCCCTGTTTTGTGTGTAGGTACACATCTGTCATTGTGCATTGTGAGTTGATGTATCAGTGAGCCAATTGGTTTCATCATGGGCTGTCACTTGTGTCAATGGAGTGCATGATCGATGATGGGTCTCCCTGTGATTTAAGCCCCTAGCCCCCCGTGCTCACAACTCTGGAAGGGGGGTGGAAGTTGATCATTATTCTACTGGATTGAATGTGGGACTTGAATCTAGCCAGAAACATCCCCCTCCCATCCAGCCTCGGTGTAGTCTTTTCATCTCTTCTGGATTTGCCATGAGGCTGACATCTATGCCAGCGACGCATTAACTTCTTGCTCTAGCCTTTGGTTTACCTGACCAACCCACACCAGCATGACTGATATCGGCGGATATGTCATACTTCTGGTGGAAACAAAGGACCAACAGATAAAGCTCTTTGGTAAGGTGTCAAAGTGCTAACTCTTGTTTTTTGGTTTTTTTTTTTTAGAAATTGTGTTTGTTTGTTTGTTGGGGTGTTGGGGTGTTTGTTTGTTTTTTACATATAAGGGTAATTCCAGAAATGTGTGACATTTTTTTGTCCCTGTTACATCTGACCTTTGTTATTTGACATGGAAATATCACTGGAATTGATTTCAAACTATAATTATTTGTTTAGCAGGTACTTTGCATTAATTCATCACCCTTGGAAATTAGAAAATGTGTTCTGAACCTACAAAGTCTATGTACTGGTAAGATGTGACAGGGACATGAAAAAAAGACCCCTCATTTCAAGAATTACATGGACCCATAAAGCCTCTTTGGGAATGATGGAATGCTCGCCCTTCAGATACATGTATGATATACATGTATGTGCATTGTACATTTTATCGATTCTTGGGAATTGGATACATACTTGAAATCGTTGGTAAATACCTAATTTCTCCAACAGAGAAAACTATTGTGTGAGTTACCGTACCATCACCACTAGCTGCTTACTGGTAGATCTTCATGTACATGTACAAAGTGCATGTGGTTGTGCTGATTTGGTAGTGACGCAGTGAGGTCTTCAGTATCAGTTTTTTGTGTGTCTCTGTTATTGCTGTCAACACAAGACCTAACAGTACACATACATGTACATGTACACACTTAAGAGTCTGTTAAAATGTAACTAATTATGCAGGTGTACAGGTACATTGGTTTTGGTCTGATGGATACTGTATGTACATGTACATGTACCTGTGTGTATTGGTACTGTAAATACTGGCCTTGCAACACATCCAAAGAGATTGTGGTATCCATGCACTTTAAATACAAGTCATTTTAATGGCCTGCATTCAGTGCTTACAGCGGTGCTCTTCAGTGTCAAGTTCTTGCTGCGGGTACACAGAAATGAGTCTGTTTAATTTATGAATATGATAGTACCTTTTGAGACACATGGATGGCTACCTACATGTAATGAAAGGTGCAAACGGTATGCAAACAGTGTGCAACATTTATGAGATGAAAGTAAATTTTGCATCAGGACAGGGCACTTTGAGATGGGCAGAATCATATTGTAAACATGGGTTTGTAGGATAGCAGAAAGTTGATGAGACTATACATGTCGACCTTTAGTTGTACATGCCAGTAAAACCATTTTTACTCATGCTTACATGTACTAGCATTAGGCAAACTGGTCTGGAACATGTTTTTGTTGTGCATGTACAAGAATGTACATGTACATCACAGTCTGCTACTAAAACATGAGCAGGAAACTTATTTCAATTGGCAGCAGTTTTACAGTGTAATCACTGGACTTTGTGCAGTGTGTTGCTGTTGAAGACTCTCTTCCAAAAAGTCTTTTAATCGCTTCAGGACAACTCATGCAGGCCCCTCTTGGAGAACAAAAAACTAACTTCGGGTTTATTGGTAATGGTATAGTAGCATATTTGGCTCACTTTTGGACAAATCAGCCGAAAGAACATATGTCCTGTAAATTGGAGTAAATATTCATTGACAGTAATCATTCGTTCCGGGACTTGTTTGTTTTGCTTGTTTTGTATTTTGCTGCTGCATCATGCACATCAGTGACACAGTGACAAACTCTGCCACAGAACATGTCCAGTCAGAGTACCATCTGATCGTAGAAGTCTGTCTCTCCCCCTCCCCTATAAGATGCTGAGGTCCCTTAGGCTCGGAACTTTCAAATGCTGGTGATGCCTCTGCAGTGTGGACCCAGTGTTGCCAATGGTGGTTCAACCATTCAAATCACTCCTGTGATGTGTGTTCACTGCACCATTAAGTCACTCGCCAGTGGTGGTACCAAAACCTGTGCATAGTCAACACCACAGTGTACCCCCCCCAAAAAAAACTGCTTGGCCGTGGAGTCAGTTCAGACAACTTGTGAATTGACCTTGGCAGTGGTTCTATGGCCAAATGACAGTTCAGACAACTTGTGAATTGACCTTGGCAGTGGTTCTATGGCCAAATGACGGTTGGATCTCATATTTTTTGTCGTGTTTCAGCTGAACACCCTCCTGAAGTGGCCAGGCACAATGAACTGATCGAGTCACAAATTCTTGTTTTTTTCCCCAGCAGAATCAAAAGTCATTTCTTGTATACGCCTCTGAAATACATGTACATGTACCGGTACATGTTCATGTGCCGATTCACTATGCTAGGTACATGTGTGGTATACATGTACTGTACATGTGCAACTGTACTACATGTATACACATACTGATACATGAATGTGTACAGTCCAGACAAACATGTACATGTACTGTACATATAGATCATGCATGTGTACAGCATAGTGTATGGTACTTTGCAGTGCTCTTGTCACGGTGGGCGGTGCCGGATGGCACCACCCTGTGCTGCAAATTTCCACTTTGCTCTTGGGTTCAAATTGGCTGTGCCGCCTGTACATCTGCATCTGTATATCATACCGGTATACATGGATACATGTATGTTCAAAATAAATGGCCTGCATAAAAGGCTGATATTGTCTTAAACAATTTGATTCCAGCTGGTTGAAAAATTGGCCAAAATTTGAGCCAACTGGTTAGGTGGCCAGTTGGAAGAGGAAAAATACACTAAGATCGAACACTAATGAGCCCCTCCCCTCGAGTTGAGCTCCGCACTCTTTAAGAGTCAAGACTACAGAGGAACCGCTATCCATCCAGCGCCAACTTTTGTGCTTTGAATTATCATGTTCCCCACCAATTGCCATGGCAACAAATGTCTGGAGACTATTAGGTATTGAGTTCCCTGCAGTAATAACAGGTGTGCATTGGAAGCACTGCTCATGTTGGAAGGCTATGAATATTTGATATCAGCATGTGTAATGCATGTAAACTGCCTTCATGATCATGATTAGTGAGCGTAACTGGTAATAATGAAATTCGTTCAAATTACATGTACATGTACCGGTACATGTTCTTTGCAGTACTAAAACAAAATTTTTTTCAGGGATTGATGAATGCATGGTTTCTTTTGGCAGACCTATCGTATAATGTACATGTATGTACATGTTTTACATGTACTTTATCAAAAAGGACTGACCACAAAGGGAACAAAGAACATGTCCCTGTCCTCAGTGATCAGGCTTTTGTCCTCGGTGGTGAGTGCCAGTGGCTTGTCTGTGGGAGAGTGTTTCATTAAGGAGACATACATGTAGGAAATGGTGTCCCCTCTTCCATGGTACCGGTATCTAGTAAAATGGAACTGAACATAAACATGCACCTGCCTAGTTTCAATATTGGTGTAATGAACAGACACTGCGTGATATATTCCATCAAACAAAATGGCATCAAAAACGTGGAAAATTTTTGCATAAAATGTCTTGCATAGGTTGCAGCACTACCTCTTGAAGCCAGACTGATATGCTCCAGGTTGATGTGTTTTGTTTATGGTCAGCTACATGTATTTTGTAGACAATTGGGGCTGCATAATTACATGCACATGTATGTTAGTAATAAGGAGAAAATTGGCAAAATGAGTGGTACTAAGCGAGAGAGACATTGTCAGTCATGGCAGCGCGTGTTTGCACTGGTACATGTATATAGGCGTACCCAAGACCGTCGGCAAAGTTGAACCAAGTGCAACTTTGTGGCCTGTCGCCGTCCCTGTTTGGGTCAGTTGTAATGAAGTGTTCCCATGTGACTGCAGAACAGAAACTGATTGGTGATGTTCTCTGTAGTTCTCTTCGTTGATATGGAAACCAGTTTTACTACATGTGCCTTTCCTTTCAACACCCTCCGAACTCGATGCAGGAGCACAAACCGGGAAATGTTCATTTGTTGCTGAGAGAGTCATAGGCAAAACGAGCCCTCCACCTGTGAGAGGAAGATGGTTTAATCCCCGCCGGAATTATCCCCAGCCAGAATGTCAACAGATGAAACTTAATTCATTGTTTACCATTCTGTTTGGGTGTGCCCTGTCATGATTCATTGTTTGGAGATTTTCAAATTACAGGAGAAGCCAGTTGCACACGCATGTACATGGACATTAGCATCAGTGTACAAGTTGGGTACATGTACATGTACATGTAAATGTACCGTACACATGTATGCATGGACTCATTTGTAATAGGGTGATGATGCATAGAACAATTAGCTTTTAAAATATCCAGTCACACCCGCCCACCCCGAGTTAGGAAGCTGATATAATGACTTTCAACAGGAAATTGCTTGCTACCGTAGCTCAGCTCTGCTGGCTTGGTGCTAAAAACACACAGAGCTCTATAGTGCTGAACAACACCACAGTCAAGGAGTAGTTTACGGTGTAAAAATTTCCCATGTACACATGTACCGTCTGCCCCTGGCCATTACTTTCTGTCATGCTTTTGCTTCCCAGCACACAATTATCTTTTTGCATTGGTGGCTGGTGTCGTTAGAATGGATGTGCTCTAGTGTGCACCAAAAATATACATGTAGGACTAAGATTGCTCCTCGCTTTTATTTGAACTTCATTTCATTTGAGTCGATCACTGTGGGCAGTGAAGACCATTTGTGACCTGCTGTGTGAAAATACATACGTACATGTAAGTTGTAAAGTGCTATAAATTTTTTTGGTATTGTTTTTTCCTTATAATGGGCAAAAACTCCTAATTAGAAAAAAAATAATTTCCCTGACCAGGGTTTGATCTGAGATTTAATGCGTGCCTGTCTGATCCACTCCAAGCAATTACTAAAATGACTACATGCCTTCTCACAACTTCCTCTTTCTTTTTTTTTTTGATACCCTCCTGCAATACGGTATCTCGGCCCAGCTTTTCATATCACTTGTTATTGTTTAAGGCAATATGGAGATCTACTCATCAGTATTAGGCCAGCATGCAACATTTTAATGGATGGGGGATAAGCCTGTTCGATATTCAATTCTTTTCATATCATGATATCATGAAGAAAATATCGCAATATCCGATGTTATCGCGACAACGTCATTTTCCATTCATGAAATAAACACGACCGAAATCAC